AAATAAACATTAATAAAAATTAAAGAAAATTATTTTATTTTATTTTACTAAATACAATACATAATGAAATCAAATACTTGGAGGTAAATATGTCATTTTACAATGTAATCTCATGTGATTCTAATATCATTTCTATCCCGCATTCCCTAGGACACAATAGTCCAACATATATGAGATTCATAGTCCGACTACTAATCCGACCTACAAATTCTCAACCAAACAATGAATTCCATGGTGGATTGGACATGGAGTCCAATCCCTCCTCCAATCTTCCCAAACAAACACCCCCATATTGTTTTCATTTTTTTTTTCCCTATGAAATTGAGGACTTTTTAAGTTCCATTTGGATAGATGGATTTCAAATGATGCAATTTGGGAACTTTTATAGTTAACAATTATAGAGTAGGTTAAGTGGTTTGTATTTTGTTATGATCTTTGTACAATTATAATCATTAGTATGAGGATTTCAATCTTAAAATTTTGACGTTGTTATTTTAAATCTGTCAATGTAAATGTTCTTCTCAAATTCAATCATAAAATCCATATTTTAACTATCATATCTGAATTTGAGCTATTCTACTTAATGATTAGTTCCCAAATCCTTTCACTCCAAATCCTGAAATCCAAACACAACCTTAATCTGTGTGTTAGGAATCCCATTTATTTTTTATTTTTTTTGGGCACAAGGTAGGATGTTATGTTAGCAAGTTACTAATTAGATTACAATGCAAGCCAATGCCTCTTGGTTGACTCCAACTTGAATTCCATCTGTATGAGTTGGAATTGTTTATGTGATGCTGGACTAGTACAAGATGATTTTTTAACTTAGCATTGTTAGAACTTTGAAGCTAATTTCTTGAGTGTAGCTTATTTATGTTATTGAAGGTACTGATTGTTATCGTGAGACTTGGTGTAATCATGGTTGTCAAATCGCGAATCATATTTATAAAAAATTGAATCGTGAATCGAATTGAATCGTAACAGTATATTTTTTTTATAAAAAATAATATACATATAAAATCACAAATATAGTGCTTAAAATACGCAACTAAGACATGGTTCAGTATCTTTCTTAGTACTAGCTAGATGATGTTTCATTCTACACACACCTCCCCAATAATTATTTCCACAATATTTGCATTTCAATTGCATCGCCCTGTTTTTGTTCTGTAACTTTTGTACAGTGTTCTCATGTTGGGTCAACCACTTTTTTTGACTTTTTCATCACGGTTGATTCACAAGAATATCTATAGAATTTTAAAAAAGAAAATAAAAAAGAAAATAATAAACAACTAGACAATAATGACAAGTGAGAACCATTAATAGTGAATAAAGGATCAAAATTAATCAAGTAAGGACAAATATATAATTTATATAAAATATTATATAATTTATATATATTATATATATATTAAAGAAGGATGGTGGTGTGGAGCCTTACAGCAACATTAAACAAATACCTATTATTTTAAAGTTTTTTCACCCACAAAAAGACCCCAGAAGGAGACTATGGTAAAGAAAAGCTAACCCACAGATTGATTTTTTGAGTACCGAGAGAGAGAAGAGAGAGAAGACTGAGCTGTGAGACTGATAACGGGTAGAAGAAGACAATTTCTAACTATATCTTTACATACCTTCAAATTTCTTTAGATTTCTCATTGGTAGGTTCCAAAATCCTCTTCTTCGAACAGGTTTGTCTCTTTTCTTTGATTTGTCTCTCTCAGTCAAGCCCTAGTTTGAGTTTTTCATCTGTTCTTCGAATGATTTCTTCTATTTATCATTCCTTTTTCTTTTTTCCCCCCTTCCTTTTTTTTTTTTTTTTTCAATTAAAGAGATCAAACGACGTCGTTTAACAGATCTGGGCAGGAGAAAAAAAAAATGAAATTTGAATCGTGAGTATCATATGTATTGGCAATTCACATCGATTCCTACGGTTCTTACTTCGAATTGCACGATTCCTTTAAATTTACGATTCAAGTACTCGATTTGAATCGTTCTATGAAAAAATCGTATCGAATCGTATGAATCATATCGCGAATTGCACGATTCAGACAACCATGGGTGTAATTTCACTAAGATTTGGGCATTTATGGAGCTTACGTGGAGTTTTGGTAGGCCTCTTATGCTGAATGCTCAAATCATAGTGGTGTTACTCTAGGTGTAATGTTTAGATTTTGAATCTCTATGCTCAGTTGAAGAGCAAATTGTACTGTGGAGGTAGAGCGTTGTTACAAATTTGTGTTGGATAATTAATTTATTTCAAATTATATACATGCCAAACCAACCTTGATTATGGTCGGTCAATTGATTTAGGGGTAAGGGCATGTTTGGATGTTCCTTGGAAATTTAATTGTCCCATTATGAACCATATGGAATTTAATAGACATTTCCATTAAAAAAGGCGGCCATCATAAACTTGTAATGGTGGAAGGTAGGAAATGCTAGTTTTTCGTGAAGTCCTAGTACTGGAACATGCACCATTAGCTGCAGTGAGTGGTTTCCATCATGGTTGTCTGAATCGTACGATTCACGATACAATTCGTATGATTTGCTACGATTTTTTCATAGAACGATTCGAATCGAGTACTTGAATTGTAAATTTAAAAGAATTGTGCGATTCGAAGTAAGAATCATAGGAATCAATGTGAATCGCCGATATGTATGGTACTCACAATTCAAATTTCATTTTTTTTTCTCCTGCCTAGATCTGTTAAACGACGTCATTTGACTTATTTAATTCCAAAAAAAAAAAAAGGGAGAAAAAGGAATAATAAATAGAAGAAATCATTCGAAGAACATATGAAAAACTCAAGCTAGGGCTTGACTGAGAGAGAGAGACGAATCAAAGAAAGGAGACAAACTTGTTCGAAGAAGAGGATTTTCGATTCTACCAGTGAGAAATCTGAAGGTATGTAAAGAAATAGCTAGGAATTGTCTTCTCTTACCCGTTGTCGGTCTGCTCAGTCTTCTCTCTCTCTTCTCTCTCTCGATACTCAAAAAACCAATATGTGGGTTAGCTTTTCTTTACCATAAAGTCTCCTTGTGGGGTCTTCTTGTGGGTGAAAGAACATTAAAGTAATGGGTATTTGTTTAGTGTTGCTGTAAGGCTCCACACCACTATCCTCCTTTAATATATATATATATATATACATATATAGGGGTGGTTTGGGATGATCTAAATAAGTGTACTTTTTGACTTTTTATAAAATATGGATTGGATATGGGTTGGATTTGAAGTGATGTAGTAGAGAAGTGATGTGATTTAAATAAGATGATGTGACTTAAATAAGGTAGTGACTTTTTGACTTTTTTAAGTTATGACAAACAAGGCCACAATATAAACTATATGGATTTTATATAAATTATATATTTGTCCTTATTTGATTAATTTTGATTCTTTATTCACTATTAAAGGTTCTCACTTGCATTATTGTCTAGTTGTTTATTATTTTCTTGTGTCTGAATTTTTTTTTTTTTTTTTTTTTTTTTAAATTCTGTAGATATTCTTGTGAATCAACAGTGATAAAAAAGTCAAAAAAAAAAATGGCTGACCCAGCATGAAAACACTGTACAAAAGTTACAAAACAAAAACAGGGCAGGCTACAATTAAAAAGCAAATATTGTGGAAATAATTATTGGGGAGGTGTGTATAGAATGAAACATCATCTAGCTGGTACTAAGAAAGATACTGAACCATGTCTTAGTTGCCCATTTTAAGCACTATATTTGTGATTTTATATGTGTATATATATATTTTTATAAAATATATAGTGTTGTGAATCTTACGATTCGATTCAATTCACGATTCGATTCCTTATTTGACAACCATGGTTCCCATTTTATTTAACAGCTTCCCTTTGGATGATGGACTCGTACCTCAAAATATTAATGTGAAACACAATGGAGCCATTCAATTTACATGGGATATCTTAATGCACCCAAATTATATATTTTAGTAGTTAATTTTATTGGATAGCTTGATATACATTGACGGGCCAATTTCCTAACAGCTTAAGCTTTTGAAAAAAATTGGTGACCTAGCATTGTATCAGAGTTTTGGTTGAGAGTGGTTTTGGGTTCAAGTCTCCGTTGGTATTCGGTCCCTGTTTGGTTTCTTCCTCTATGTTTGGTTGTTTGCTCTTCTTTATGTTTAATTCTTTGTTTGTCTCTACACGTGCAAGACGGGGTTACATGTGAGGAAGAGTATTGAATAGCTTGATATACATTGTTGGACCATCTCCTAATACCTTAAGCTTTTAGCTTGCTTGGTTGTGTTTTTTCAAAAATACTTTTCAGAAAATTCTACTTTCTTGTTTTTCTTATTTTTTTGTTTTTACTGAATTTTTTTTAATATTTTAAGCAATTTTTTTTACTTTCTAGACATACCTAACATAAATATACCTAAAAAGTAAAAAAATTGTGAAAAAAACCGTTTAAAAATTCACTAAATACCAAAAATACAAAAAAAATATGAGAATTCAGTACATTTTTTGTATTTTTATGTATTTATTAAAATTTTAAAATATTTTTTCACAAATTTTTTACTTTTTAGATACATCTAAGCAAGGTGCATCTAAAAAAATAAAAAAAATGTTTAAAATTTTAAAAATATTCACTAAAAACAAAAAAATACGAAAACCAAAAAATTGAGTTTTCAAAAACTTAATTCAAAAAACTCAAACCAAACATGACTTGACAAATTTCACAGTACAAGATTGTGAAACTATCTATGTTGCATTATGAAACTTGGATTTAGATTTATGATCTGAACTCCTAAATTTTGGCTTCCATTGATTTTAAATAACACCTTCCAGCCATGACTCCGCTAATTTAAGGGTTAAAACTTTGTCCGGGGATTCTACTGAAAGTCAATTTTAATACTGTAGAATTCAAAATGATGGATCATTGTTGGATTTGTGACACCAGCTAAATCTGGAAATCCAAACACTATGATTGGGCTTTAGTGCAATTATTTTTAATTTGGATCGTTGTTCTCATAGGTCAATCCAGCAAATGAGCTGATGCTTGGAGGTGGTGGTGCTGATGGAGGTAATTTCTCACTGTTTTCTGGTGAACATGCTCTGTTATGAACTCTGTCAATAAGTCTGTGTATTTTCTTAGCCATACACCGAGCTGCTGGCCCAGAACTCCGAGCAGCATGCCATAACGTACAAGAAGTCCGACCTGGAATTCGTTGTCCCACTGGAGAAGCAAGGATTACACCGTAGGATTTCCTACTTCAGCTTCTATAAAACGAGTGGTATTGTCCAACTTTATGTTTATATAACTCCTTATGAACATACGAGGATGTTGTATACATGCAGAGGTTTTAGATTGCCTGCTTCTCATGTAATTCACACTGTTGGCCCCATATACGATGTTGATCCTAACCCTGAAGCCTCTTTAAGAAGTGCATACAGGTAATGAGTTTCTGACCCAGAATTTATTTTTATATATTTCTTTATTTTTATTTGGTTTTGCTTGATGATTGGGACACGTGGCCAAGTTTGGTTTGGCTATGTGATTTTGTTTGATCATTTTATTAAGATTTCTTTTTACCCAAATTTGTTACAGAAACAGTTTACGTGTTGCCAAAGACAACAACATTCAATATATTGCATTTCCTGCTATATCATGTGGTGTTTTTGGGTAAGTTGGTTAAAAGAACTATCAGTTGTTAAAGTTAATACTATATGTCTATATCAAAGTCTGTAAGCTTTTGAATTTTTTCAATCGCCTTTCCCAAAACTCCTGCAAATTAGATTGAAAAATCACTATCTTCACTAGCTGGGTTGACTCGTAGATCTTCGCACCTTGTATGAGAATTAGTTGAGATGTTGAATGCATTATTAATCAGCTTAGGTGATATGATCACATCTGCAAATTGCAGGGTTGCAGGTTGTTAAAGTTTTTTGAGTAGTAGAATAATTGAATGGATGGGATGTCATATATAAATCTATCTTTAGTGCACACTTTAGTAATGACTCGAGTAATTGTTTTGAATCTTTTCTTCGTTGTTTATTGAGAGCGGCATGACCACTATTTTTATTTCATTTTCACATGTTCTTTCAGGTATCCTTTTGATGAAGCTGCCATGATGGCTATATCAACTGTTAGGGAGTTTGCAAATGACTTCCAGGAGGTATTAACTTGTCCCTGAATTGATTTTAATGGTAGTCCTCAGTTTCACTTTCCAGATTGAAATGTTGCATGTCTGATTTCTTTGGTGAGATGTTGAATGATGAGCGAAAAGAATTATGATTTCCTTAGCTGGAACTAAAACTGGTATCAACATTCAGAATCAAGTTGTTTTACGTGGAAAGAAAAGTTAAAACACAATGTTATGGCATTGTTCTTTCTGGGGCATCGAATATAATAGCCATAGGTATTAAGGTATTTCCTTGTCTCATGGTTTTGTTTGGCAACATTGTCTGAATTTGTATGGACATTCAAACTTTTAGGCAGAAATACAGGATTTTCAGTCCCTGCTAATTGTTTTAAACTTCTTGTTTCCAACCTGACCTTGTCAAGACCACTTGCCTCTAACTGACATAGTTCAGATCATGAAGTATGATGATACTCAGTAAATGGTGGGTGTATGGATGCAGTTGGATCCATGGTGCTGGAGTGATCAAACATGTCACGTAGAGCTGGCAAATGGGTGGATTTTGGGGGTTTTTTTTTTGGAACAGTAAAGCTCTCAATTCTCTCTTTTGCTCCGTTACACCTGAAGAGTTTCGTCGTATCTGTACGTATGCGGTAGCAAAAGAGGCTTGGGACATTCTTAAAACTATTCACGAGGGTATTACTGCTGTTAAAAGATCAAAATTTCAACATCTCACCTCCTCTTTTGAAACTCTCTTTATGCGTGATGATGAGATGTTTGATGATTTTTATGCTGAACTTAGTGACATCATATATATATATATACGTATTTTAACATGTCTTTCACTGATTTTGTTTTGAACACATTAAAAAAAAAAGAAAAGAGAAATGCATTGACATGATGACATCAATGAGACCATAACAAAATATTTATCAACAGATTCAGTATACTTCAAAAGCCAAGCATTGTGAGGAGAAATCAACCAATACTCTTCAAAAGTTTCTAATCCATTTAACAAAATATATCTGAATGTCCAAAAATATTCAAAAATAATCCAATCCAATCATTCAAACAAAATATGAATGTCAAAATACTAGTATTTGATTACAGATTACTACTCAATGAGTCCATATCAAAATGTATCCTGCTCCATGAGTCTATCTCCATCATATATCTGTTAAAATAAATAAATAAAACAAAATAAAAAGAAGAAGAAATCATAAACATGTAAATATAAAATATAGAATTAGGAATATATTTATTTTCATGCTAAACAAACTCAAAAACTTCCCACCACTTTCATCCTACCCAAACTTGGCCTAGGTAAATAAAAAGGAATTTTGACCAAATTATATTTTCATGTTACTCCATTTTGATTGGACATGATCTTGCATTCTATTACTAACCTGTATATTTTTTATTAAAAAATAAAAAATAAAAAAGCTTTTACTTGAAATAGACAAATCCAGGATACAGCATTTTTGAACAAAATCATTAACTTTACAACCTTATGCCAGTCAGTTCACCAAAAACCTAAGAGTTAATAGAGCATATGATCCACAAACTCACAGATAGGCCAAACATATTTCTTTAATGATTCCAAATAGACATAGTAATGAGTTTGCAAAGTTGAGTAAAGAAAACAATATAGGTTCATAGAGACCTACAAGCAATTCATATTACCTTAGCAATAGCGAAAGGAACTTTCACATAGTGAGGATATTCACCGATCGTGTCATACATAAGATCTGCCTGGAAAACTTTGGAATTCAGTAAAAATGTACTTCACCTGACTGCAACAACTTTGGAGTGAAAGAAAAGATAAGGAGAAAGACAGAAATCACCAATTGATGCACAGTGAACACTTCTGGTCCACCAAGAACATACACTTTCCCCATGTTGGTGCCATCATCTTTTAGGGCCACAACAATTCCAGATACAACATCAACATATACAGGTTGAATTCTGCAAAGACAATTCTATCAGAAACATATCCACAGAAGAATCGGATCAATAAGCAAAATACTGAAGTCTCTCAATTTACAATATTATATTTATCTTTTATCAGATTTTCAGTTAATACATTGGAAGACATACTTGGTAGATCCATCCCCAATGAGTGGAAGGAAGCTATAGCTTTTTGCAAAATGTGCCCAATTATTTAAAACCTGATCTTCTATACCAATCATTACTGCAGGTCTCATTATTTTGGCCAAGTATATCAGTAATTTCCCACAAAACACACATTAATAACATCCAAAATGAAAGGTGTAAAGAACAAATATTGCACTCTGCATCACTGAAGCAAAACCATTGTAGTCAAAAGTCAACTCTTTTTAATTAACAACTGGCAACAGAAAAACCAGAGAGACTCAACCTTCTACTTTGAAGTGACAGTATTTCCTTATTCCAATTCATCTAATCTAAGAGTCAATTGAAGTTTTCTAACCAGTATCGTCCATGCTATCCCAACGTATCCCAATGACAATATTGTTTTGGCAGGTATGAGGTCGATCCATTTTTCCTGGAACTCAATTTGCATAAATGAAATCTAGTCTTTTACTCGTAAGCTTCATAAATCATAAACATTACATGATCAAAACATGCTACAACCCACCAAAATTAGATGGTTGCAAGGGCTAGATTACCCATCATTTTAACCAAGGGAGCATGACACTTTGTGACTATCTAACCTTGTGAATGATAACTTCTTCTTTCGATCATAAGGGAAAACAATGGTATTCCAAAACATGACCATAAGTCAATAGAAACTGAAAGCAAACAGTCAGGGCATGCATAGATTTCCGGCTGAAAATTAACGTAGTAAAAACAGAAAACAATAACTTCATATGGTTGCACTTAATTGGAAATAAAGTGATAGTAACCTCTGATTTGGCATCACTTCTTTTTTTCAAAGTGCTAGTAAAAGTAGGCAAGAGAAGTGAAAGGAGAAAGCTATAAACTCATACATGTCAACTTGGTGAAAGCACTCACTTAGCAATGAGAAAAAAACGTGTGAAATGGTTCCAAATCCAGCAACTATGCTTTCAAAATCCTCTACTAGTGCTTCCTCTTCTTCTAGAGCTTCCGAAACTAATGCAACAATCACAAAAAAGTAAAAACAAATGACACATGTTAAACAAATGACATGTGCTAGACAATTAAATAAATCTGATTTCATTTACTTACCTCCACAAACTGTATAGCCAATCCCAAGTGCATAATATCACCTCTACATTCGTAGGCATGATGGAGGAGCGATATTTGTCAATAATTCGGCCCCAATGCTAAAAGCGGACTCTAAAGCAACAGTTGTAATTGGAATGCTCAAGACATCATGTGCCACTAAAGAGAGTTCTGGATATCGGGCACTATTTGTCTTCCAATAATTCAAGATTTCCAAATCTCAATTTTGCTACCTATCAGGTCTAGGCTCTTCCAAGTATAAGTCCAATTGTGACTTGATTCTACTCCACCCATAATTTTGGCTCTCAAATAGATCAAATTCCTACACGATTTAAATTTAGAATATCAGGATTGTAAATATACACAGAAAATATTTTAATTATATAAAATTAATGACTCTTACATCCATTTCATCAAGTGTACCCTCTTCGTTGCCTCCACTTGTAGCACTTGTCAACGAAGATGGATTAAAAGTAGAAGTCCGAGCACAATGCATATACTCTTCAAAAAGCAAATACAACCTCTCACGAATAATCTGCACCCTTTCCACACATGTTTGAGGATTCAATTTTTTCAAACAAAATTCCATGAAGTGTAGCTTGTAACGGGGATCCAATATTACGGCAAAAGACAAGACTACACACACTCCCAATACTCATCAAATTTCCCTTTCATCATTCTTGCCATCGAACTTATAACATCATCTAGATTTTCTGTCTCCTCCATGAAAAGTAGTTGTATCTTCCACACTCCATGAAAATACAAATTTGCCGTGGGGTACCTAGATCTGGAGAAAAGAGTGGTAATCTCATAAAATGGTTTCAAAAACCTAGCTATTCTTTCAACTCTAAGCCACTCCTCATTTGATGGGCATGTCTTGAAATTTGTGTCAATCAATTGCAATTGATAAAATGCACGACGGTGCATTAGCGTGCTTTCAAGCATCAAATATGTTGAGTTTCATCTTGTGGACACATCTTGCCGTATTTTTTTTACTACAATTCAAAGAGAATTGAGAGATGCATTTGACAAATTTAATCTTCCTTGCTTCTGAACTCTAACATACTTGACACTTTCTCAAATGCTATGTATAGATTGATTGATCACTTTCAATCCAGCATGTACAATTAAATTCCAGATATGTGCACCACAAGGTACATGAAAAAATTCACCTTCACACAATAATGTAGCCGCCAAAGAAAGATGATGCTTCAACACATCCACAAGGCCGTCATTATATGATGCATTATCCAATGTGATGGTGAATTTTTTTTATCAATTTCCCGCTCTTTTAATAGATGAATAACTCTTTCAGCTAGAATTGGACCATTGTGTGGTGGAGGCACATGACGAAAATTTAAAATCTTCTTTTGTAACACCCAGTTGTCATCAACATACTGAGCTGTCAAAGCTAAATATCCATCCGTTGTCAAAGAGGACCATAAATTTGAAGTAAGGCATATTCTACTTGAGATTGATTCCAATTCATATTTCAAATTCTCCTTCTCTCTTTCATACAACTTCAACACATCAGATTTTGTTGTGTTTCTTAAGATGGATTTTACATCCGGATTTAAAAACAATGTATGTCCCTAATTCCCTCATGTTCCACAAACATAAAACGGTAGTTATGCCAAATTATTGTTGTGGCAACCTTGCCACAGTATGTGTCTTGATCAAACACAGTAGAACAGTGAGAATCCTGGAGCCCTTGTTTAGGGCAATTTCTAATATGCCATAACAAGTTTGTGGTGCCTGATCTTGAATCAGCCGCATACTCTTGCTCACAATTCCTACGCCTTGCCTTTTGTCTCCCATCAATGGTAATAGGCAATTTTTCAAAAGAATCCCATACTGCAGAAGTGGACCTCCTAGGGCGTTTTGAAATATTAGAAGACCTTTGCTGCACATGCTCTTCACTGTTTTCGTCCATCCTAGGCTCCAAATAAAACATTTTAAGCTCAATAGACACTTGACAATTACTCAAATAATCAAATATAAGAAAGACCAAATTGAATTAAAGATTGACTGCTCTTCATAAAAAAAAATTAGGAAAGAAGTAAATAATCACCTATTGATTGAAGCAGACCCAAATTTATTGGATGGTTGATTTCAATGTAATCATATTATAGCAACATTGAATATACCCAGTTTTAATCTTTTATAGCTGAAACACATGATAAAACTGATTTGTAGCTTTGAATCTAAAATAAATAAATAAATAAAGTGCTTTGAATGGTGGAATCAATCTAAATTTAAAATAATTTTATCCACAAAGCTGATTAAGACCAATGAGTTCAAGATTTAAAAAGGGAGAGGAAAAAAAAAAAGAAAAAAAGAAAAAAAGACTAAAGAACAATCCTTAACATAAAAAGGAAACATAAAAATTGTCTCTGAGATTGAAGCAAACCCAACTCTAATCCAAGTCAAAGCACCCAATTTGCAGATCAAAAACAGAGCAGCAGCTCTCTGCTAAACCTCTTTTGTATCACGTAAAATGAGTTAAGTATTATTATTTTTCTATGAGGTAATTTGATATTCTCTGTTTCACCTTTTTTTTTTTTGGATGTGTTTCTTTTTTTTTTAGCTCACCTCAATATCATCATAACTCATGAACCCAGTTTATAGGCATAAGCATAAGCATAATGAACCCAGTTTTCTTATTGTGTACAAAAAAGCATTAATAGATCATGGGCTTAATTAAGGAGAGTTTTCCAATTTCTTGAAAAATAAACTCAGCATAAATGACAAAAAGGAAAATTGGAACTTCAAATTTCTTTCCTTTTCCCCCATAGTTATCAATAACCGAACAGTAAGGCTAAGTAAAACTCACCTCTTCAATAATTTTCAGTGAAAATTTTTCACAGCAACTCTGCTTTTCCAAAAATCTGAATAATCACCAAAACCCAGATAAAACTACTAGAATTCGACACAAACCCACATATATTTAGGACCCAGATGATGAAATCAGAGAGAGAGAGAGAGAGAGACAGAGAGAGAGAGAGAGAGTGTGTGTGCTTCGCAGCCAGTGGCATCAAAGAGGCTGTTGATTCTGATCAAAGGAGTGTTGCCAATGGCGTCGATGAGTCCATTTCTTGGTTTCTTCTTTGGTGTCGTTGTAGAACAAGCCCTAATCAACTCAGTTCATTGATCACGTAGAGAGAGAGAGAGAGAGAGAGAGAGAGAGAACCCTAACAATCGTGAAGTGAAGCTCAGAATGAACAGGTTGTTTTTTTTTGTCTTTGTTGGGTGTCCAACGGGTTTTCTCTCATTGAACCCATTAATAAACCAACAAATTTTTTTAACCCAATTAGCACCCGTTTATGTAAAAGGATAGGCCCAAACCCATTTATTGTGGGTGGATTCGCAGGTTTGGGCCCAAATTGCCAGCTCTAATGTCACAGGTCTTGTTTTGTCGGACCCGCAAACAAACCCTTGAGAACTCACCGCGAGTTGGTGTCCTTCTCGAAGGCCCTCTGACATAAAAGTTAGTTCTCTCAAAGTAGAATTTAGAAATGGAGGAATGTAGAGAGTTGAGGATATGTACCTGGAGTGCATGTGCTTAGTATATATATATAGAGAAACCTGAGTGTAAAGTAGGAGCGTGTCTCTAAAGTACTTTGCTCCTTTAATGGGTTGCTATGTAGCATACTTTCCTTGGGGCATGCGCAATAGTACCTGTTTCGCAGGTTCACGTCCCTTCTGTCCCAATGGCAGGCTCAAGTTGCAGCTGGTAAGTGTGGGGCTATGAAGCACCGATGCTTCTAAAAGAGAGATGTATTCGTATCGTATCTATATTGGATATCGATAATCCCGGATACTTATTAAAAATATCGGATACTTCTTTATTAATTTTTCATTAATTTTGAAATTTTGGATACTTCTTTTTTAAGTATAAGATATACGTATTTACTTGTTTTACGAAATTAGAATTGTAGCATTTCTTACCTAGCATTATAATGTACCTCATAAATACAATAATATTTTTTCAATACTTGGCTTGGTTCTTTGATAAGAATAACATAGGGAGTTAAAATTAATAAAATTTGTCAAAATAGCATATTCATATTATGTCATGTATGTCCCATATAACTACATAGAATGTAAAGATTAACAAGTAATGTAACACTAGTAAAGTTGCCAAACCAAATCAAGCCTTAAGTTCTATTAAATGGGGTTGGCTACATAAATCTTTCTTCTCCACTCAACACAATCAAAAACTATTTGGTTAGTCAAATTAATGAGATTCATATCTCTAATTTTACACGAAGACACCCTAAACTTAAGAAGAACAGACACTTCTAAAAATGTGGCGTGTCGGTGTTGGACACTGACACTCGTTGGACACTTTCCCGACACGTGTCCGACAATCATCAAAACGTGTCCTATTTTTTAAAATAGAATTTAGACTCAGACACTTTTTGGACACTTGGAAGACACATGTGTCCATTGCTTAAACACGTGTCCATTGCTTAAACACGTGTCCATTGATTAGACACACATGAAACTAATTATAAGTTTGAGTAAAATAACTTAGAATACAATGGTAAAAGATAATTAACGTCAATTTATAGAAATTAGTGCTATGTTGCATTTATTTATTATCTTAGAATGATATATTTATATATATGACATAATAAATATATATAATTATATATTCCATGCCTGTCTCCCACTTGTGTCCTGTATTTTTTTAAAAATTTTGTGTTAGTGTGCCTGTGTCATATTCTTGTCGTGTCACTTGTCCATGCTTCTTAGCCTTGAACTATTAAACAGTATCACTTTGTCCTCTAAACTATAAGAGTATACAAATAGACCCCCTAAATTATTAAGAAGTATCTCTTTGTCCCTTAAACTATAAAACATACAAATGGACCCCTAAACTATTGGCGTGTTTCACTTTGGTGCTTTCCGTTATAGGGTCCAATTTGTATGTTTTTATAGTTTAGGGGGTCCATTTGTACGCATCTATACTTTAGGGGGTTAAAATGATACTTTTTAATAGTTTAGGGGGTCTCGATGTAAATAACCCTGTTCTGCTATTATAATATAAACATATTAGACTTGATATTAAAATGAAATATTTGTAGGACCTATTGAAATTTAAGAAACAGACTAGTTAATGGCTTAAAAAAATATTTAGACTTAAATCAATGAAAATATTGTTTTGAATGATCATCGTGTAGTTTAATGGGTAAGAAATTAACAAAAAGTCCTATGTAAGATCACCGTCTTACCTTTTTCTTTTTTTAGTTATTTTTTATCAACCATTCTTAATAAAGATAGTAAACAAAGACAAACTCTCAATTTCCAAAGTAATAATAATTTAACAACGATATTGATATTTATACAATAAACATACATACTTTTTCAAGTAACAATGACTAAATAATAAGAAAAAATTATTTATGATCTTTTAGTTTAATGCCTAAAACAATTTTAAAAGGTATAACTGGCCTCACTTATATTTAATTTAATAAAATAGGAATAAATTATTCATGGTGTAAGTTACTTTAATCTTAAACATCTTTAAAACATATATTATGATTTTTTAAAAGGAAAAAAAAATTAGAAGAAAAGTTAAAAATATGTTGGGTCTAACTGAATTTGATTGGATCCTATTAAAACTTCATGATCACTAAAATAACAAAAAATCATGTATATATAATGGTTATTTTGGAACTAAATGCTATTAGAAGTTGTATTATGTCATTTTTACTAAAAGGATGGAGAAAAAAGGAGTGGAAAATTTGTCGGACATTATAATTTCAAGAATTGCAGGAATTGTAAAATGTGAATCGAATCGTGAATCGATTGTGAATCATGCAATTCACTAGAGATTCACTTCCAAATAGATTCATCCATAGATTTGTATCAATTTTGCAAAAATTACGAATCGAATTGTGAATTGAATCGCAAATCGTAAGATTCTGATAAGAGAGCTTGTAAGTAATAAACATTTTAATATTGGGGTAATGTGGATAATGCAATTCAATCTAGTCTTTTTACCATTAAAAAAAAAACAAAAAAATTCACGTGTCTAAAGAAGCAAATGTGATCTAGTAATGAGGGACAAACAAAGGGAGTAGTAAATTCTACCTTCCGAGCAAGATGTAGTCCTCAAATTTATGGTTCAGTTGAATCAAATTACTAGTTTCCAACCTACTAATCATCAGGCAGCTTACCAAATTTCAAATTCATGTGAAAAATAAAATTAAAAAACTGTCTTTTTTCTCACAAATTTACAATAATGCTGTTTGCAGGTGCACTTTGTTCTGTTTGCTGATGATATATACAATGTTTGGTTGAACAAGGCAAATGAATTGCTGCACGATTAGTGAGTACGGTTGCCTGACGATCAGCAGACCCTATTATTTACTGGAGAAGCAGAATGCAAATGGTGGAATGCAGATAGTTATATTCCAAGTTGAGAATGACATTTGCAGAACTATCATATGTGGATCAGCAAGTTGTGGATGGAAAAATGGATTATTTTTAGTATGTAGTTTTGCTACATTTGGTTTGTTAGTATCATATGTGCTGTGAATATTTATGTGCTTGTGGCATTACTAATTTAGCACAACAAAGTTGCATTGCTTGGACACATAATTTCACATTTTTACTTGAGTTTTACAAAATGACTTCTTTGCTATTGAGTCATTAAACAATACTACCTATAAAACTCAACCATAGGTTTTATTTTATTTTTTTAAAAAAAAACTTTTTATGAATTACTTATTCCTCAAAGATATTGGTAATATTGATGTTTTGGGATAAGGGTTTCTCATACTGGATGATTTTGGTGTGGCAGGAGGAGCTTGTGGGTATGACAATTTGTATAGCCAGAGCTATGGCAGTAACACTATGGCACTAACAATGCATGAGCTGCGGGGCATGCTTTGAGATCAAATGCAACGAGACCCAAAATGGTGCCTCTTGATACCTTCATTGTGACTGCTACAAACTTTTGCCCACTAACCCTTCCCAGTCTGATGACAATGGTGGGGTGGTGGTGCAACTATCCCTTCTAGCACTTTGATCTGGCAGAGCCTACTTTCTTGCAAATTGCCTAATATAGAGATGGAATCAGGGTTGGTCCTGAGTTTCAAGGGGCCCTATCACATATTTAAGCGACATCTCTTATTTTTTAGGAGCAAAATTATAAATTTACTTAACTTAGTGAGTTAATATTTAACTAACTCAGTGACTATTTTTTGTCAGAAAATTGAATGGTGTTATTAATTAGATTAAATTGACATAAAATTTAAAATTAAGGATTAAAATTTAGTTAATCGAAAGTGTAAGAATCAAAATGACATAAGAAATAAAATGTAAAAACTAATAATATAATTTGCCCATCATAAATCTTCTATTGGGAAGGCGTCTTGGTTTGACACAGATGATTCCACGCACAATTTTAAGCAAGTGGTAGCTGGGCTACAAGATGATGTTGATGATGCTGTTAGACTTGATATGTTTCATCACTTATTATAAGAAGTTGGAGGAACAGAGTTACATTGCAGCATTTAATTATCATAAAAATATATAATTTTATTTTTAATAACAAATTGTTGCAACTTTACTTTAAAAAATACCTAAATTTTTTTTACCTCCCCCCCCCCCCCCCAAAAAAAAAAAAAAAAAAAAACTTTTTTTTTTCTTTTTTTTTTTTTTTTTTTTTTTTTTTTTGATATATATAAACAGAGCCGGATATATATATATAGTTATAGATATATATATATATATATATATATTTTTTTTAACAGGAAAATCCTCACACTCTCCCGCAGGTCCAAGACAGCGCCCTTTGCAGAGATCACCAAGGTGTCCTGTTGTTCGTTCCGAGTAAGAGACTATAACTTGAGAACTTGCATCGACCTCCTAAGACAAATTCTGCTTAAGTCAGGACTTACACAGCGAGAGAGCATTGAACCCACACCAAGTGCTGTGATAACAACAATTTGAGGCTAACCTCCTAACCAAACCGCTTAAGTCAAGACTCGCGTAGTGGGAGAGTATTGAACCCACACCAAGTGTTGTATAACAACAACTTGAGGCTAACCTCCTAATCAACTGTGCTATGCCTAAGAGATTGGCCCAAGGAGTTTTGAACTTGAGACCAAGGGTCTTAACCCCCAGGCCTTTGCCAAGTGCGCTACATGCCTTGGGTTAAAAAAAAAAGTGTTTATATATGGCATAAAATCAATTCTTAAAACTTATACATAATAATTTGGTTGGGTATTGAGCTTACCACTTTATATAAAAGAATCCATTAAGATACTTTTGAGGGATTTTGGTGAGACCCCCTTTTTTGAGCTTTTTTTAGAGTAAAGGACAACTCAATGAATTTTCCTTTAAAAAGCCCCTGAGTAGGAGACTTGTGCCTCAATAAGGACATTCTATAATTTGTCCTTTTTTTTGACAATATTGCCCTTCTATATATGTATCATATATTTGAAAATCTAAGCTAATATATACACGAACCTCCGATGACGATGTGCGAAATCAATAAACACGATCTGCAAAATCAATGAAGACAATCTCCAAATTTGAAGATCTCGCCTTTGGTCAATAATAGAAGATCTCGCCGCCGAAGATCAACACAGTCAATTAAACGAGAGATTACATTTCAAATTTGTATCAGATTTTGAGAATTTCATTGAGATTTGTGACTGTTGATCGAGTTTTAGAGGTTCTGTTTCGATCATGTGTTTGATTATTGTTCAAGTTCAATTAGGTTTGTGTATTTGTTGATTAGTTATTTTTTTTGTTTGTTTGTTTTTGTTTTTGATTTATTTTTATTGTGTATGATCTAATTTTGTTTGATAGAATGAGAATGAGAATAAAATTTGCTCTGGTACTATGTGCTCTGTTTTTGTTTGATAGAATGAGATTAAAATTTTACTTTAGTATGTGCTTTGTTTTTGTTTGATAAAATGAGAGTAAAATTTTACTCTGGTATATGCTTTGTTTTTGTTTGATAGAATGAGAGTAAAATTTTACTATGGTGTTATGTATTCTGTTTTTTTATTTTTTGATGGAATGATAGTAAAATTTTACTCTGGTACTGTGTACTTCTGTTATTTGTTTTTGGACTCGTAGTTACAATAAAATTATACTTTGATTGATAGTAAATTTTTACTGTCAACTGATTGCAGATTTGAAAAATGGTTCCACCTCTTATGTTGTTATGCAAGTATGGTGATCGTACCATTGTGTTGAAGGTTGTGTCAAACTGCACATTAAAGGATTTAACCGATTTCTATTGTTTATTTATGGTACTTTCCTGAATGGCAAGTATAAGGACACATTGTTATCAACTACAAGGAAGGATGGAGATCAAGGTAGATACTATTGTCAATGTCTTACAAAGTAAAATTTTACTTAATTTCATAGTAACATTTTACTTATTTTCAGAGTAAACTTTTACTTTTAATTATAGTAACATTTTATTGTTTTACTTTTTTTGGCTTTTTGTATATTATACTTACTAATTGTAAAATGTTCTCTCTTTCAGATTTTTTTCCTCTTGCAATTGGTATTGTCGATACAAAGATTACGAATAGCTGTGGATGATCTTGTTATCTTCCATCAAATTTGTAAGAAGCTACCTGATAGACCAAGAAGAATTGGATTTCGTTTAGGAGTGAGAATATAACAAGTGTATAGTGTTGTAAATGCAAGAAGTACGGTCATAGCAAGAAGACTTGTAAGGAGATATTGTTATGAAAGACATTATTGTTTTGTAATAAAAGTATGAGAATAATGTAATACTTTTACAATAACAGTCCATTTTTATTGTGTTGTTGAATGGTTGTCTATCCAATTTACTGAGTTACTTTGTAATTCAATTTGACACTTTAATATATATTTTTTAATGTTCTTGATTATTTTCATGTCAAATAATTTGTAATGGACCTTGTTTAGTAGAAGTGAAGATTTTGAGTAAAATTTTACTTTGAAAGACAATAAAATGTTGTTACTGTAAAAAACAATATAAGTTTATTATGAGTTCTATTGTAAAACATATCCAACCTATACTAACATATGTGCCCTTTTTATTTTTAAACTTTAAAATGATATAACTTTTGATCTAGATGTCGGTTTTTAATAAAATTAGTATTTTTTGAATCCTCTCATCAAGATTTATCAAACAAGATCTAGGTTACTATGAAATTCCTTAAAAAAATAAAACAAAGTAATGTTGAAATTGACGTAGACAGTAAAATTTTACTGTCATTATCAAAGTAAGGAGAAATCGCAGTGTCATTCAGAATAAAATTTTATTTTGAATCAGAGTAAATTTTACTATGATTCAAAATAAAATTTTATTGTCATTAAACAAATCAGCAATCAACCTTTATTTTCATTAACCAGAGTAAAATTTTACTGTTACAAAAACAGAGTACATACTAGATAAAGGAATTATAGTCGAATCTTACTTTAGATCTATGAACAAACAAACAAAAAAACTCTTGAGTTTTCATTATAATATCTCAATATATCATTTTTTTTGACATATATGAGGTCATTTTATCTCAGATATAAAGTTATTGATCTCAAACATGAGTTCATAGGCATCAAATATGACGGTAAAAATGGTGGTCGCCGGTCAACGGTAAGGATGAGCGATGTTGATCGATGATGGAGATGGTGAAGGCGATGAACAACCATCGACAGTGGATTTGATGGAGAGAGAGAGAGAGAGAGAGAGAGAGAGAGAGAGAGCTGTAAAAGAAAGAGAGCTTTTTTGACTTGTGATGGTTGATTCAGAAATAATGACCGGTAGAAGATGATGAAATCGTTCAATAACTTCGAAACATTCGACAATGGCACTTGAAAATCTCTCATTATGCTTTAATTGATAGTTTTTGAAGAAGGGTTTTCGAATCAAGGGTTTTGAACTTCGATAGTTTTCAAACGAAGAAAAAAAAACAAGAGAGACAAACAGCTCAACTGCTTACTATTGCTCATATATATGCAAGGGTATTCCTAGCTTTTCATCATATTTTTTAATTTGAGGGACTTTTGGAACCATTATTTTATTCTGTGAGCTTTACACAAAAAAGGTCCAATGGGAGGGGCTTTCACAAAAAATCCCTACCTTTAATTACATAAGCCATACTGTCCTATCATTTTAGTATAAAATTATGTATAACAATTATGATAAAATTCTTTTTCTTATCCATTGGGTAGGGTAAGTGATATTCTTTAAATATCCACAGGGGATGGGTTGGGAATGGGTACCCATTAATTTCCCCATTTTTTTTTATTTTTTTTTTAAGATTCACAACCAAAACTAAATATACATTCAATCTTTTTATTTATTTATTTATTTATTATTTTCAGGTTTACAACCATTTTTTTTTTTAGATCCACAACCAAAGCTAAAATACACTCCAATCTTTTTTTATTTTTTATTTTTAAGGTTCACAACCCCATTTTTTTTTTTAATTTATTTTTTTTAAGAATTCCAAACAAACTAAATATACATTTAATCTTTTTTCTTTTCTTTTTTTTTTTTATAATTTTTCTTTTAAGGTTCACAACAAATTTTATTTTATTTTATTTTATTTTTTTATTTATTTTATTTTTTTTTAAGATTCACAACCAGCTAAATATACATTTAATCTTTTTTCCT